AACCACCCTTATACTACCCTACTGTGTATATTATGCAAAAACATATTTCCTTAATTATAACTGGATATTATAGTATTCTATTCATCACTTTTCTTTCATCAGATAACCTAGATGAGATCATTAAAAATATTATGAAACCATCCCCTAATCGGGGGATGATTTCATAACAGCTTCTTAGGCATCTGGTAAATTAACTGTTACAACAATACTCAAGCAAGCAACATGCAAATATCGTAATGTAATAATATGTAACTATGAAATCATGAACGTTTAGGCTTCTGTAAGCTGTGGTAGGTACAGATATTGCCCTTTGCTAAGCACACCCCCGAGTATCCGTATTATTTACCATTTTTATTGAGAAAAAAGTCTTATTTTTAAAGTAAAACTTCTTAGGTGGCGGCGGTCTGATATTTGGACGAGAATGGAGAATGATTTGAAAGACGCGTTACCTACGTTTAGGCCCATTTCGTTCGAGCTATATTCAAAACACAAGCCTTCGTTGCAAGACAGAGTGGAGAGATGTAATGTTGAGAGCAGGAAAAGAGAGCTATAGTTTGTATAGGTATATCTGATACACAGTTTCGGCTATTCGCGTTTCCGTTTTGTGCTGTCCTTCATCTTTAACCCCCACTCGTGCGCTAAGGCCAAGGTCTCAGTTGCTCGAAGGGAGAATATTTCAGGAAGCATTTTACAAGCAAGGGAGAGGAGAGAGCCACGGATTCACTGAATACTAGGCAATGGAAGAGAAGAGAATAGAGAGTGTGACGCGCATACGCGCAGTACAACTCTGATGCCATGATTCGTGAAAGCTTCATCGCAGATTGCCTATGACACCCTTGCTGAAACTCTGGTGAAAATCAAGAAATGGGATCCCAAAACAGGAGCAAGATGTACCAATACTTACTTTAACAACAGACCAGTTTACATCGTATAAATTAAAAGATATGAAAGTGAAATGGCACCCTGAATGTTACAAAAGAATTTGAAAAAAATATTCTCTGGAACGAATGGAGAAAAAGTATAATGCCCAGCAATAGGAAGCTTCAACTAGCTCGCTGCCGATATCACAGGAAGTTTCAAAGGAAAAGCTGAAATTAGTTTTTGGAAGAAGTTTTTGGGAGCAACCCCATTCATGCTCCAGGCGTTGACATCTTTGGGCAAAAATGAAACGCTAAGTGACTCTGATATGGAGCAGATTAAGTTATTTATTTGTCATTATATTCACCGTCCGAGAAAAGTGTGAAAAACCTAGCAAAACTGAGATGGTGCTTGTTCTCGCAGAGTCAAGTTCCAACCGAAAATATGCCTCTTACTCGAGCAGCCTTGAAAATGGCAGTAGAGAGGTGCCACTATCAGTGCATTGAATGGAATCGGGATACACAGGCTCACCCCAATTTACCACCTCCAACAAATTACGATTGGAAATTTGGCACTGATGGATTGGAATTAGAACCAATTATGTTTAGTTTTCCCTGTGTACCTGAAGAAATAATTAATCTAATAAAATGTTCCTGTAAAAAAAACAATCGTTCTCAAAGACACGCAAATGTTCAGCACGAAATATACTTTGCGCGGAAATGTAAAGCTGATCCAGAATGATGTTCAAATAGTAAAGCAGATGAAAAATCAACCTATGACACTGATTCTTACTATGCTCTGGATAGCGAATTCGATGACGAATAATTGTATTTTTTTTACTTTATATACAGGGTGTCAATTTAAAAACTTACAATGGCTATATCTGAGTAACCAAAAAAAAAAATCTATAAAAACAATTTCTATAATAGGGAGGGGGGACCAAAATGATGTAAAAACCAACCTGTTTTCACTTACCTCCTCACCCCCAGCCACCCCAACTAAATAATCTTAAATAGCAACCCCCTACTTGTGATACCTTATGTGAAGGTTCTTAAAAAAATGCTTTTCAATGGTACCCTACAAGCTAGGATTCGATGTAATAATTTTCAAAATAAAACCATTGAAATGTGAATTGAATTTCTGACTATTAATCTAATAAACATTTTTTTACTATCGTAGCATTAATCTTGAGGCTTAAACATTTTAGGCTTTTATTATTTTTTGTTTATTCGTTGTTTTGGGAACCTGAAAAAATTGGGAATTGGGAACCTGAAAAAGTCTAAAAAAATACAATTTTAATTTATGTAATTGAATGAAATGAAGTTTCATTTACCCAATAAACCAAAAACTCACATCACATCAAATCCTAGCTTGTAGGGTACCATTGAAAAGCATTTTTTAAGAGCTTTCAGATAAGGTATCACATGTAGGGGGTTGCTATTTGAGATTATTGAGCTGGGGTGGCTGGGGGTGAGGGGGTAAGTGAAAACAGGTTGGTTATTACATCATTTTGGTTCCCCCTCACTATTATAGAAATTGTTTTCACAGATTTTTTTGAGAGAAATAGCCATTGTAAGTTTTCAAATTGACACCCTGTATGTAATATAAATGCCAAAATACGCTGTAATTCGATATTTTTTGAGCTTAGCTGTAACACATAAAATCATAATATGTTTTTCTTTTCAACAATTTACATATAACTATGAAAATGAAAAACTTTCTATCTTTTTATAGCTAAAATATTTTTTTAATGTAAGGGTGGTTTAGGGGTAATTTTTTCCCTTCTGCCACCTCTACAGGTTACGCCCCAATGATATTCGTAATCTACACATTTTTCCAAAAATTTTGATATATATCACTATATTGCTTCACAAAGTTGCATACGGAGTACTAATTTAAAACTGACTAATTGCAATAAAATACAAATGTTTTATGGAACTGCATTATTAAACACGTTATAAATCAAATATCTTTTATAAATATCAAATTTGTTTATTAAACATTTTCTTGGCGTTGAAAATGATATATTAGTCGACGCCATGGTTTTCACGTTTAATTTCACTTGGTCCTATGTCGGCCATTTTGTCGTATCCAAAATAAATTAAATAAAATAATATAATTTAGAAAATTGTCGTTACTAAAAGAATAAAATAAGTTCACAATGACATAGGGACATGACATAATGTCGATTTTCAACTTCACGGATGATTATTGGAGACTTTCGTGAAATTTAAATATTTTTTGTAACTGTAAAACCTTGTTAAAATTGAAGCGCGTTAAAATATCTCCAAAAAATAACCCCCAATTGATCAGTAAAATTTGCTTCGCAGTAAGATTTGAGTGGTTGAACGGTATTTAGGTGGGCTATATATTTTTTCTGATTTACCCATGCATCCTTAGCAACATGTCGCCATATTCGTAATCCATAAAAGCAGAGAAGGTTGGACAACCATTTAAAAATCAGTTTTGTATTCGGCATTATGAAAATACGATAAAATATTTTTATTAAACTGTTTTAAGTATGCTATAAAACATTATTTTATAAATGTTTTATTAGTAATTTCAACTACAGCTACATTTCCAAATAATATTTATAAAGCTGTTTTATACTAAGGTTCACAAAAGACACAATTGCTATATAGGTGAATTTATCTCCTAACTTATAAACCTCTTATAAAACTGTTTCATAACGATTTTATAAAACACTTCATAATATTTTGTAAATGCTATTCGCGATCCTAAAACAACTTTAAAAGAATAATAATATTTTATAAACCTGGGCCTTTTTCATACTTATAGACGTCATATAAGCGTTTACAACCCAACTAAGAAATATCGCAGTTATATAGTAAGATGTTTTATAGCAATGTATATGATCCTAATAAGCACATTTGTGCTACTTGGGTACTCGCCATTTACGATCTAACTAATTAAAAGAGATTTGGGGGTACAGCTGCAGGGCATGTGTGGCGCAATTTAGTTAATATCAACATTATATCCATGTCATCATGACCAGGCCACCTTCATTTCACGTCATTACGTTAACGTTATATTGAACAATCTATATCCATGATCACTTGCTTTATTAAGGACCTCTTAAATGGCGACCATTATTATTATAGTGCCTACCTCTGCCGCGCATGTTTCCCCTATATTGTTCAAGCCATACGTAGGTAATACCACTCTACACAGTGCCGTATTTCCCTATACGCACAGTACGCACAGGCGTAGGGCGGCAGATCTGGGGAGGCGGCAAAATTTAAAAAAAAAAGAATCAGAAAAAGACAAAAAATAATCGGGAAAAGGAAGCCGAAGATCCAACGCGAAACGCGGTTCTGTTTATTTTTATTTGATTTTTGAAAAATTTGAATAATATTATAATAAATACAAAAAATAACAAAGCACCAAGAACGCAGATACAGATCAAAATAATGTATACCAAGTTTATGTAATAAAATGTAGGTAGTACAGAAAAAAAAAAATAAAAAAAAAGGCTCAAAATAAACGTTTTTAGGCGTGGCACCCAAAATGATTTTCGTTTAATCCTGGCGTCCCTGATAAGTTTGCCCCGTCCGCCTCCAAAAGCCTGGCTATGTACGCCACTGTCCGTATCCTAGTCCTGTATCTTCTTGGCCCCCGTTTTTTGAGGTACGCGCCCTTCGTGCCAACATGAGGGCTGCCTTTCTAAACAGGCCAGGGGCGTAGCCACGGAGGAGGTTTTAGGGGTTAAACCCCCCTCCCATTTGATCAGAAAATATAATTGAAAACCACGAAACCTATGTTTTAGCATATACTTTGTTACCCTCAAAATTTTATTCTTTTCATATTGACCTTGAAATTCTTCAAAATTTTCGCCTGCGGCGCAATTTTTTTCCTGACTTCCCTATGGTAATGCAATGTTTCTTAATTTCAATAGCGAAACCCCCCATCTGAATTTTCTGGCTACGCGCCTAAAACAGGTGTAGGGCGGCAAATTGGTAAATCCGGCACTGCTCTTACAATAATTAATTATCACACACTAGGTGATGAAAGACGGGTTGGGACAACGTTTTACCCAGATATTGATATTCAGCTTTACTTAGACAGTCCCGAATATATTTTTTTCAATCTCAGTGACTTACACTCAAAAAAAAATCTCAAAATATTGCTGAATATATCTTTAATATTCTTAATACTGTTTTCAACATATACAGTGCAAGGTTTTTTTTAAATCTTAAATGTAAAAAACTAAAGCTTTCAGAGATATAAATACAAAAAGGCATTATAATTGATATACAGGTGGTGTTCGACTGGCGCCTCTAACAATCTTAATAGAACAGAACTTGAGAAATAATCAAAGGTGCTACGTTGAATTTAAAAAGAGATTGCAAGCTCATTATTTTGGCTTGATGTTATGGTTATCTTTGATTGATATAGCGTTTATAATATTTCAAGTGAAAGAGAGATTTTTAGAAACATAACAGTAAACACTTCATAGAGCAGAACCCAAAATAAATAATCTCTTGGAAAGAAAAGTTGTTTTATGGAAGCTGTTGAATCACCTTGGCTATATATAAGCTGTGTGTGGTGGTAAATAATTATCATTTTTCGCCATGTTCTCATATTTTCATAAAATCGCAAAATACTGTAATTTCTTAGAGCATATCCATAACAAAGCTACAAAATAGGGGGCTTAAAATCTCTTTCTAATAAAATAATAATTTAAGGAATCTAGAAAAAATGTGTAATAGAACGGAAAGTTCAAGTTTGAAATATGTATAGATTTTAATGTAGGTACCTAAATATAGAACTCACTTTTGAATGGATCTCAACCAACCTTGTTCAAAAAATATTTCAAAACAGTCTAAAATATGCCGTTATGTTCAATAGAGTTGTAAGGTTGGAAGAAACTTTTTTATTTATACCCTAGCCAAAAAGTACCTGGACTAATAAAGCAGTCAACAAAATTTTCTTGTCGCTGATTGGCATGAGATTATAACATATTCTAAAAATTGTATTTAGGATGAAAGTTTTTACTATGCATTATTTAAGTGGAAAATTACGAGGTTAACTGACCTCGACTGAGACATTTCTGCATGATGGTCTGAATAGTTATGATTGTCCTACATTAAAGACGATTTGTTACTTCTTGATAAATCCAGATACTTTTGTTCACTATTTTCTGTAATTTTATATACTATACTAAAGATTCCGATCCATTACAAAAATCAAAAAAGTTAATAAAACATTTAAAATTAATTTAAGCATTGAAATTTGAAACCTCCGACTTACGAACTAATATTGGAAATACAAAAATACTTCATTACACTCTTAGAACAAACAGCATGAGATCCTAGTGTCGACCAATAAATTTAGTGCAACGACTCTTCAATCTGTTTATAATTATTGCCAAACTATTAGGATCATGGTTACATAAAAGGGTAATTCTTATTTTGGATAGTTCAAGTAGAGTCGCTGCGACCTAAAAAGTCACGCATGAAACAACTGGCAAACCTCAACTATTACAAAATTAACACATCATTCTGTTACTTAAATCTACCATCTTTTGTGCTTAAGGAATTTTCGAAATTTGCATGTTTGGTAGAGAACCACCAATAAGTGCTTATAGGCCGAATTTGTTTTGGATTTTTAGTTGCCTAAAGTAATTTCCAAAATTAGGGGCATTTTTCTCATCAGCGCTTAAAATATCCAGTCAATGTTTCATCAAAAATCTCAAAATCTCTCTTGAAACTGAAAACTTCGTTATCCAAAAGCACAAAAGTTAAAATTAGGACCTGAAAAAAACTTATCAAATAAATCCTTGAGTAAAATGCTGTGTCTACCTAAAATTAGAGTAGGTACATTTTAATTATTTCTTAAATATGTTTTAAATAGTTAAACCTACGACTGTCTATCACATTACTAAAAAACTAACTCAAAAGCTTCAATTTTTCTTGTTGATGTCGCTCTCTCGTTGAAAACTTAGGCCCAAAATTAAATGTTATTGTAATAAAATATAATTAGAAAAAAAGAAAAAACAATTCTACAGTTAAACTTAAAATTTAAACAAACAAAAAGTCTATATTTCTTTGATATAGTTAAGACTAGGTGGGTGCTGTTAGCAATAGTTAAATTTTTAATTTTTTTTCAACGTCTCGAGTTTAAAATCCTGCAAAAGAGAAAAATATCAGATAAAATGATTGCAAAAAGGAATAATGTCTACATATTATTTGATATTGAATAAATAGATTATGGACTATGTTTATGAACCTCGACTTTGAGACGAAATATCTCATATCTCTCAAGGAAATCAAGCTTTTATTGAACATTTTTCCCAAAATCCGCATACGGCACTCTCACTGTGGCCCAAGTTGTAAAAAACATTAACAACTGAATTTCAACCCATTATGGTCTGGCTTGTTATAATGGGCATCAGGTCTTTTCCGCCTCTTAACTGTAGAAGTTTGTTGGAAAGAATCCCAATTTGTTGAGTTATGATAAACAAGAGTTTTTAGACTGTGGTATCACGGAGCATGACTTTTTCTTCCGTCAAAGTCTGAATACCTACTGGTCTTTTTCTTAATCTTGTCATTTCTTTTCTTCTTCTTCTCTAAGGTGAGTTGGTCTTTTAAACATTTAATTTGTTTGTATTTATTTTCAGAATCGTTACGAAATAAATATTGTGCCTCTTCTACTTCTTTTTCAGAAGCTGTTGAATGTTTCTTGTCTCTTTATCCAGTTGTTCGGGAGTAATATTCCTCAATATCGTTTTTTTTTTACCGTAAGGGGGCGTAGCCCAACTGTCAAAGTAGAAAAATGGTTTTATTTTTTAAATTTCAAATGGAAACGTATCTCAAAAATGCTAGCAATAGATTTTTGATGAAATTTCACACAACTTTGATTTATGACTTTTTACCATAACTTATCGGATAAGATAGTTATGAGCTGTCAAATATTGCAACACAAGAAAGCGAATAACTTCAAAACGACTCAACAAATCTGGTCGATCTTAGGTTCGTTGGAAAGACAAGAGTCTGTTCTTTAACTTTGTTGTGAAAAATTCAAATTCTGGTTAGTAGGACTGACGCTATGCGTCAATATTTGAAAACAATTGAATATTTCCAATTTTTCTTAAAATTTTCAAATGGAACGGTATATTTAAGATATTTTGAATTTTGAGGATTTTTTACATAGTGTTTCTTTATTATACCTTCCTACAAACGAATTCCAGAGCGTGTTAAAATTAATTTTATTAAAAATAATCAGTATTTACGAAAAAGCCCCCGTAAATTGAGCAGATACCAGTTAAGTATGTCAGGCTGACACATTTTTGAAATTTCAAACGCTATTTTCTAGAGTCAAAATGCATTTTCCAAATGGAGAAGCACAGGACATCCTTGAGCTTCTGCATGAATGTAATGGAAATGCATCAATCGCAGCCACTAAAATCTAATTATTTTGAAAATGGACAATGCTTTAAAAAAAAATAATAGACTGGTTTTGGATTATCTCTGTTAGTATTTACAGAAAGAGCAGAATGAAAAATGAATAAATACGTCTGACGTCTAGAGTTTAATTTCCAAAATTATTAATAGATGGCACTACCACTTGAGTAGTTTACTATTCTCAAAATAAATTGTATTTCTTCTTCAAGTTTCGTATCCTACAACATACTTGTGTATTAATGGCTATCATTACATGATCATTGCATACTAAAGTTTGTTTTTTTTTTAAAGATAATTCCCCAAGTCAAAAATTTAGTAACTTTGTTGGCAACACAAGCCTTTCCTACATAAACAATTTGAAAGCATTGACAATTTTACATTGCATTGCCAACATAATGTCATTTTGACTTTTATCTTTAAAAAAAAATAGTAGATTATACCACGAGTCAATAATGATAGCTATTATTCCCCAGGATTATTACGAACTGAGCCGCGTTAGCGGCGAGGGAGTAACATTCCGAGGGAATAATAGCCATTATTGCGAGTAGTATACTCTACTTTATTTACGACAAATTAATATATTTAAGATTTTCAATGAACAAATTTCATCCGTCTCATAATTTTCAATACAAATCCACAAGCACTACACGTTTGACACTGACACTTTTGTGGAATAATGACCATTAATCCCGCTACTCGTCATTAATCCCTGGAGGAATAACATATGTCATTATACTGCCAAAATCACAAATATAATACGCACATTATACATTAGTCGTAAATAAACAGATTTACTATCATAATTTCCTAACGCACTTTTTCCATTATTTGACATTCATCAATGATGACAATCAACTGTCAGAAAAGTAAAGTCATTATTTACGAGGGCTTTTTCATAAATATTGATTATTTTTGATAAAATTAAATTTAACACTCTCTGGAATTCGTTTGTAGGAAGGTTTAATAAAGAAAAACTGTGTAAAACATCCTCAAAAATCGATTGAACATATCTCAAATATACCGTTCCATTTGAAAATTTCAAGAAAAATTAGAAAAATTCAATTGTTTTCAAATATCCACCCATAGAGTCAGTCCAACTAACTGAAGTTGGATTTTTTTACAATAAAATTAAAGAACAGACTCTTGTCTTTCCAACGAACCTAAGATCGACCCAATTCGTTGAGTGGTTTTCAAGTTATTCGTGTTCTTAAGTTGCAATATTTGACAGCTCATAAATTGTCTTATCCGATAAGTTATGGTAAAAAGTCATGAATCAAAATTGTGTGAAATTTCATCAAAAATCTATTGATAGCATTTTTGAGATACGTTTCCATTTGAAATTTAAAAAACAAAGCCATTTTTGTACTTTGACAGTTGGGTTACGCCCCCTTACGGTCATTTTAGAAAGCTGAAATATATTTCCAGCATTTTCTCTTGGCCATATTTATGGGATAATTTTTTCCCAACATGACTACGATGAATAGTTTTTGAGATATGGCCGAGTGCCATTCTTAATGAATCACCCTGTACATATAAAATTTAAAGACAGAGCAAGATAAAAATTTAAAAAAAAAGACAGAGAAAAATCATAGTAAATGCATCTCAATTGTGCGTACAGAAAATTAATAAATAATAAATAAATACATTAGGGAATGTTTCATTGTTGTCATACTCTGTGCAGAGAAAAAATTGTTGAAGATCAGTTCTTTGAGTCTTTGTTGAAAGGGCCTTATTCTGCGACTTTCCTTTAAATCTTGTGAAATCTTGTTGCAGATGTTCAAGTTTTTTGCCATCATGCTGCATTGTCCAGTAGTGGGTCTTGTAGCTTCTTTCCTCAATTTTTGATTGTTAGTTGTAACGGGTGTTGTATTGATGGATTTGGTTAACAGTAGTAAGGGTGATATTGGAATGAATTTTTGATATTTGAATGTTGTGGATAAATGTGCACATTTGAAAAATATACAGTGATTTAATGTCCATGATTTTATTGGGATTGTATTGTTCTGCAGTTTAGGAATATTTATCACTTTTTGAAATGGAGCATAACCTTCAACATTTATTTAAACGAGTTTGAATCTATGACCGTTTAAAAGTTAGCTACCCATAATATGTGTTTGAAAAAATAGTCACCCTGTCCCTGTATGTATTATATACTCTATCCTTAAATTGAATTGTCGTTGTCTTGACTTGTGATTATTTTGACTTTTTGACTTAATTTTTTTTTTTGATTTCAGTTATTTTACTCACTTAACTCGTAGATCAAATATAATTTAAATCAAAAATACTTATAGACTTAAGCTATTAAAAACCTTTACTGAAGAATCAAGTAATAAAACGACTTAAATCACATTATACTAACTTAAGTCATTACAGAAATGACTTGACTAGAAAGAAAATACTCAGTAACTGTTACTGAATAGTGTTTATTAGGTTCTATTAACTTATTCGATGTAATATTTAACAGCTGTGCTTCATCGTCACTAATTGGATCATCAAAGATTGAAAGTTTTAAAGCTGAGTTCAAGCAGTCTGTTATTACATAGTCTATTATAGTGTTAGAGAAAGATGACACTTTTGTTGGATACTTTTTATTCAATATTTGGAAACTGTTTGATGCGATAGTGGTATTTAATAGGTGGTATTAAAAAAAAAATATATTTTTTTTTGGCTTCTGATTTGTAGAAGACTTCATCGAGAATATCCAAAAGTTCATTATACCGATAGGCATGTGGTGTGTAAATTGCACCCAGTATTAAAGGGGTATTTATCCACAACAGTAGCATGGAACATATTGTTTCATATGTATCCAGTATAGCATATTTGTGATTTTCCTTTAGAAGCATACCAACCCCTTCACCGCGTTTGTCTCTGCTCACGTAAACCGAATTGTACCTAATTAGATTAAAGAAAACTTCCCCTTTAGTACGGGATACGACGCCTATTTCATCAAATCATTTTACACCGTCTTGCATTGTTATCATCAGTTAGATAACATGAAGCTGAAACGCACTTGTGCAAGGAAATAGATGGGAGTGGGGGATTCCACTGAAAAAAATGTTTAAGAAGATGTCGTCAAAAACGAAGAAAATATATAATTATACACCGTCTTGTATTCATTTATTCAGTTAATTTGTACACAAACAGAATTGGATCAACCTATGCAAGACGTTTTCATGGGGGTTTTGGGTTGCAATATTAGATATAAAGTGTCAATTTTTGAGAGGGGTGAAATATCATTTTACACCAATCCATTGTCGATTTAGATTGAAGCTTGAATGTAGAATAGCCACTGGATACTTATGCAAGACTTCCTTCGGCGGGATGACGGGATGCAAGACGGAGGTCAATGCGTTGTCTCATGAGGGAATGAAAAATCATTTTACACCACTTCATGCGTATGTTCGCCGAAAGAATATATGTTAAGAAATAGTAATACATCAGTACAAGACGTTTTTTCGGGGAAAAAATTACATAAATCCGTTTTTTTTTTTTCACTGAACTATTGAGTTATTTACTGAACCCGTTCACTGTTCATTCTTTTCTAAATCATATAGATGAAAAATGACAGTTGCCATAGCAGTTCAACAGGGGAGTCTGCTGAATACAGGAATTATAATTTAATTTCAGACAGATCTGTCATTTTTGGCTGCTTGGAAAAAATTTAAAAAAAAAAAATAAATACTCATTATTCCCGAGATCTATAGTTGAACATAACAGAACGTAAGTATGTCATAGCTAGTATTATTGAAAAATAATAATTTTTCTTCTAGCAGATTACGTACGATGGCTTTATGCATTTTCTGTCGGAAAGAATCAAATGAAAAATGTAAGCTTTTCGAGAATGAATCTTTATTAGATAAATGTAAAAACATATTAAAAATATATTAAAAATATATAGTATAGGGCTGTTTTCTAAAGTGTACCAAACAAAAAATTCGAAGGAGCGAATTATGAAACGCTTGATGGATTTCGACGCGTCGACCATTCCACCCTGTCAAGCAGAGCTTCGTCAGCATTTGTCACGAAGTAGATACATAGGTCATATGTGGCGACATGCACATCTGAAACACCCGTTACAAATATTACCCTGTAGTCCAACTGAAAGCGGCTGGAAGTTGGAGGGAAATGAATTAGTATTTAATTGGTTTGATGGTCCAGCATTACCTACAGGAGTTATCAGCGATATTGTTATAGGTAATTCCAGAAAATGATATAGCGTCAACGACAACAAAAATACATGTTGCAAACAGCTTCTATTTAATCATATACATATAAACTTTCAGATCGTGAAGATAGTGATGAAGACGATGATGAGGAAATTTCCAATACGGACGTCAAATACGAATTCGATACGAGTGAGGATGATGGCAGCGACAATGAAGACCTTGGCGTAGAAGAAACTACGTACGAATACACTCCTATAGATTTTGAAGATACTGATTTTGGAAGTGGAACTGATTAGTTGGGCAGGTGACACACTGGAGAAATAAGTTTCATGGAACTTGTTGCAAGAAACTGGAAATTTGTTTCATTATCACACGACACATACATTCAAATGAGACGGAGGACACTGGAGTTTCTGAAAAACAAAGCAGAAATTATTTCGCCAGTGTGCTCTCTGCCTCATTTGAATATATGTATCGTGTGATAATGGAACAGATTTCCTGTTTCTTGCATCAAGTTTTTTAAGACTTATTTCATTTCTGCAGTGTGTCACCTGTTTTGTTATAAATCTTTGTTAAAACAATTTAATAAAAGTGATGTAATGTTTTTTTTTTTCAAATGTATTGCTTACAATCCGGTATGAGTTATGTGTTGTATCTACCCCAAAAAGAACTTAAATGATCATAAGCCGTCAAAAAAAATCAACAGTTTTCAATCTTTTTTCATTTGATGCTCGTAGAGATATGCAATTTTGCAAAATAGAATTAATCCACGTGGACAATAGCAAAAAAATCTGAAATTAATGTGCGTAATTTGTTATTTGGAGTATTATTCACCTTTATACCAGGTGCCCAGGTGGATTGTGACCCCCGTCAAAGTTAGTCATCTTCATCGTCTTGCAGTCCTTTTTTCTTATTTAGAACGTCTTGTATTTTCAAAAATGTTATCAATGTATTCTGTTTTCCCCATTGGTGCTAGTGCAAGACGGTGTAAAATGATTTTTCATTCTCTCATAAGACAACGCATTAACTTCCGTCTTGCGGCCCGTAATCCCGCCACAGGACGTCTTGCATTAGTATCCAGTGGCTATCTTGCATTCAAGCTTTAATCTAAATCCACAGTGGAGTGGTGTAAAATGATATTTGACCCCACTCAAAAATTGACACTTTATATCTAATATTGCAACCCAAAACCCCCATGAAAACGTCTTGCATAGGTTGATCCAATTCTGTTTGTGTACAAATTAACTGAATAAATGAATCCAAGACGGTGTATAATTATATATTTTCTTCGTTTTTGACGACATCTTCTTAAACATTTTTTTCAGTGGAATCCCCCACTCCCATCTATTTCCTTGCACAAGTGCGTTCCAGCACCATATTATCTAACTGATGATAACAATGCAAGACGGTGTGAAATGATTTGATGAAATAGGCCTCGTATCCCGTACTACTTGTTACGATAAATTTGTCATTTATGTAACATGTTCCATCTTTCTTATTTAGTTGTATTTTTTCCATTCCAGAATCAGCAAAATAATAATTCCTAATAATCTAAAAATATACACAAAGTTCAAAATAAAACCAGTGCTGCCATCTATCCATCATGTGCGTAAAATGCAAATATCTAGAATTCATTTACCAGTGCTGCCATCTGGTACCGGATGAGTTTATTATTATTTTTAAATTGTGATAGTTCTCCTTGGTTATTTTTATTTGACATTCATTTGTATTTTCATTCAATGAAATTATATTTATCTCACTTTTAGCAAATGGTTTCAAACAACACTGCAGTGAGTTCAGAAGTAATATGTAAAGTATAAGTTTGCTCTTTGTCGAATTACACGTTACAAAGAAAGAAGGAAAGATTAATTCTGAACTGGCCTCTGAATAAGAATATGACGTAAGCCCGTAACAAACTCGCTTCTCATTGAACGTTCACCTGCAACACACGAGTTGCGCGCGCAGTCAAGGTAAAAAAAGATAGGTCAATTAAAAGGCCACGTGCCGGGAATATGGCAAATTATGATATTTTTTGACGCAGATACATCAATGCAACCGAGAACGAACAATATTTTGCAAGATTTCAGTCATATTATTAAATAAATTAATAAATAAAAACTAAAAATTTAAATGAAAAATCACCAACTAGTGATAGAAAACGCTGTCTAATTAGCTAAAGCCGATATTGACGTTTTTGTTGTCACATGTAGAAATGCGAAATTTAAATGAGTTGTAAGGATTATACCTATCCTTTATTTTTTTATAATGTAGTAAAGGAAGAAAATAGTTTCTAGCTAGTGAAATGTGTAATGATTTACTAATGAGAAATATGGCATCCTCGCTTTTTTGTTGATTTTCTGGTGTGTGACGTCACAAACCAAGTTCGCGTTTTCGCGCCAGTTTAAAAATTCGATTTTTAAATAATTTTTTTTTTTTTCAAAAATAAGCGTTTTTTTTTTCGGAAAAAAAGTACACAGATAGTATTAGAGTGACTGAAAGAATAATTTAAATATGTTTTTGAAAAATGTGAAAGTGGCCCATTAACAGTTTTTTATTTTTGACATAACCTTAATTTAAGTTATTATAATTTGTAAACAATTAAAATAATTCTAGTGTATTTTTATCTATTCTCTTTTATTCCACGTGGTTTTTCATTGTGATTTCATTGTGAAGTGAATATGATGAATATGGGTGTACTCCCCAACTAACATTTTTCGCAGCTCAAGGTTTTATTAGGATGTAACGGATATTTATAAGGAGTTCATAAGAAAACCATTGGTGTTACAAATTTTATAAGACGTCCAATAAATACCATAATACTTTAAGTTTTATAATTTGGTATCGAAAACGTTTCCGGTACTTTATCTATAAAACCTTTGGTGTTGGGTACTTCTGGTTTTTTCAAAAAGGTTTTATAGCATTCTTAAAAACCTTGTTATAAAACTTTGACTCTTGGGGTTTTATAGCTTACTCCGTGAAACTCTTATAAATCTCGAAGCAGCTAATAAATATTCTACAGCAAATATTAAACTTGAAGAACGGTATAAAACTTATAGGTCCATTAACAACTTTTTCATGTAGGAGAGGCGGCTATGTTTTTAAGGTTATTCTGTTTATTAATAATTATTGTTTTCCTAAACATGAAAATATGTCACAAGCTAAGAAAGAATGGTAAAAATTGAATACAGTAGCAGCTTTTATAGAAAGTGTGCCCGTGACAATATTTTGCGAAGTGCACTAGGCGATAAGTATTTCAAAACCCCAAATAATCTAAAAGAAATAGACCAAAAATTTAGACTTTCATCACGACAATATTATATTGGCACAGAACAGAAGCATATTACAACGATCCAATTTGAGACAATGATCTGTTTTCTCAAATATAATTTCAATAATTAAAGGCCCTTTATTCTAATAAACAACAACTGAAAGTGAAGTTATGATTGCATGTTTGACATTTGACAATTTGTCATATTTGCGCACTGATAGTTTTTAATGGGTTTTCCGGTTACTTTTAGTTTTATACCGGTTACGAAGGCATTTGTGCAAACCTTTTTGATAACCTATAAACCTATAAAGTATCACAAAATCACCTTAGGTTTTATTGCAACAGCAATATTCCCATAAGACACCTGGGTTAAAAGTTTCCAAGGTGTTTAATATTACTTGAAGGCTCATATGAAACTATAGGTTTTAGAAAGGCAAATCTGGCGAACATTGCGTCCTTTTATATGACGGCCATTTTTATGTTTTTTCGAATTGACATAAATATCTACATAAAGAAGGTAGAATATCGCATTTTACGCAATATTACTGAACTTGAAGACGTATTTCTTCAGGCATATGCGGTCAATAAATATTCTGCATTTTAATTGCAAAAAAAAAATCATGAGACATAGTTTTGATTTCCAGATTTTTGCTAAAAATAAGTTTTAAAGTGCTTAAAACGAGGGCGCTTCAGTTTTAGGAAGGGTATAGGGTAAAACATAAAACTATTCGATGCGATGCCAAATAAAATTAAGTCGTCAATATTTAATGTATAAAACATTTTCATAATAATAAAAACAAAGCAAGAATCCATTGCTGTCAACTTCAAAGTGAAAGCAAAATATTAATGACAAGGACTCGACTCGAAATAAAATACATTTTATCTACAAGCGTTTGGTAATGACGTTTTTACATAACTATTTTTCCAGTATTTGAGTTATGTCATGAGGCTCATAACACAACTAGTTGTGTTATGGACTAACACAACTAGTTGTGTTATGGACTAGGTTATGAATTCATAACACAACTAGTGGTGTTATGGACAAGGTTATGAATTCATAACACAACTATTTTTGGTGATTTGACAAATGTCAAAGGTAAACCTGTAAAGGTAAAATGATGGTATAACAACGACTAATAAACGAAAATGATTGAAAAAAAATCTTATTGTTCGCTTTGTAGATAAAAAGTTGTACATCACACGTGCGTTTAAACATGACTACAAAACTCGTGTGATTAGAACGACTCGGTCTACGACCTCGTCGTTTTAATCTTTCACACTCGTTATTGTAATCATGTTCATAAACGCACTTGTAATGTAAATAACTATTATCTACAAGCGTTTGGTTATGACGTTTTTACATAACCACTTTTCTAGTATTTGAGTTATGTTATGAGACTCATAACACAACTAGTGGTGTTATGGACGAGGTTATAAATTCATAACACAACTAGTGGTGTTATAGACTAGGTTATGAATCCATAACACAACTATTTTTGGTGATTTGACAAATGTCAACGTTAAACCTGTAAAGGTAAAATGAAGGTAGACAACTACTAATAAACGAAAATAATTGAAACATCGTGCTTATTTTTCGCTTTGTAGATAAAACGTTGTACATCACACGCGCGTTTAAACATGACTACAAAACTCGTGTAATTAGAACGACTCGGTCTACGACCTTGTCGTTCTAAACTTTCACACTCGTTGTTGTAATCATGTTCATAAACGCACTTGTAATGTAAATAACTATTAAACAAATGATATGGAAAGAGATGAAACGAAAAGGGGGGTTTTTTGTTTGGTGTTTATAAGACTACTTAGGTTTTATATCGGTAACAAAAATGTTTTCCTTGCCATTATAAAACTCATTTATATAGTTTATAAAGGTAACGACATCAACCTCTCAGTTCCAAATAAATGGGGAGTAAAAGTTTTATATGTGGACCAAAATTTGGTCACCGTTACTCTTATAAGATTCTCCATTTAAGTGCTATAGGCGTTTTATAAGAGAAACGAAAGCGTTTCGCGAACAATTGATAGGTTCTCAGGATTTACAAAATAAATAATCGAAACGTAACCATTACCAAATGTTAGTTGGGTCGTCTGATTGGTTGAAATGGTTAAAAGACAGTTAAGGCCGCGTTTATTGCCGCCATGTTTAAATTTAGTTTTTGAAAATGACGACTGCGCCACTTTACACATTCGGTTCAATATTTTATTTTTTGTCCAAAACAAAATCTGTTTGTCGGTGAAACACTTAGTGAAAGAGAAAGACAAATATACAATTATGATGCTCCCAATGTAGTTTTTTTGCCGTGGCGCCATCTACTTGAAATTGCTTGAACTGTTTTCACCTTCAAAATTCGTTTTAAGGCCATCTCAAAAAAATCCGCAATAATTTCCAAAATCCTTTGGCACAAACATTATTTGATATATTATCTACAGTTAGCTTTTTTTTAGTTTTTCATGCTTTTCACGGATCCAAGCTTGATAAACATGCAAATATGCAACCACCAACACATTTAGTTGTTTTGGTGGTTGCGAACATGATTTTTGAATTTCAAAAAAAGGCTGAATATCGAAAAACCAAAATAAGGAATTGTAGATAATCGATTAAATAATGTTTATGCCTAATTTGAGCCAATTCTGATGTGCCGGTTTTTTAAAGACCTTAAAACAAGTTTCGGAAAATCAACCAATCAGAGCACTGCATTCTCATCGTTGTTGCGGCCTTAAGTATAAAAAACACAGGATCGTTTTCCTGTTTTGGTTTCAGACTTTTGGACTAATATACCGGGTGTTTCTCAAAACCCGCTCACCCCTATAACTTTTTTATTAAATGAGACGCCAGGTATATTTTTCCCGAGGGGCAAACCGCTGATGGTATTTTGGTGTACACTATCATGGTATTTTTGGAAATATTTTGGTATTTTTGGTAATATTTTGGTATTTTTGGTATTTTTCTATAATATTTGGTATTATTTGGAAATATTTGGTATTATTTGGTATTATATGGTATTTTCTTTGGTATTATTGGTATTTTTTGGTAATATTGTGGTATTTTCTGGATGATTATTCAGTATACGCATGCGCAGTTACGTCTACTTGAAAGTTTGACGGAACTGTGGCAACGTCGCGACTCTGCCTCTTGAACTTCAAATACCCTACAATTTAACATAAACAGAGATGAAGCAGTGTGGCCTCACGTGTTGCCGTAAAGAAAGTTGGAAGCGAGGTTGGAAAAGAAAGAGATGGCCCTTTAAAGTTAAGTGGAACGGGAGAATTCAACCTGAGGAGGTTAGATGTGGTCAATATCAAACAACTGTATAAAGATGATTTGAAAAGAAAATAATCAATACCTACTTATGGCCAATCATTCGACACCTTATGTGAATTTCTGCTGTGTTACGTTCTGGTTTACAAGGAAACCAATAATCGCTTGTGGTGTGTTTATGAGAAAATGGCCTTATTCGGGTTTGAAAATAGGGAAAATAGGACGGTTCTAGAACAGAACAGAAAACAATCTCACAGTTTATTATTGAAATTTGTGCTAGCCGAGCTATTGTCATTTTTTTTTTCTGATTGATAAACTGTGCGATTGTTTTGAACCGTTCTAGAACCGCCTTTTTTTCAAACCCGAATCAATAATTATGAGCCAACTTCTTGATTTTTCTATATTTTCAATATTTTCCTTGCTCGCTTCTTTATCTATTTTCAAGATTTGTTTTTATTTTTGATTAACACTCGGATTAAAGTTTAATTGTAGGCATTTCTCTAATAATTATATCTTTATTTTCATTATAATTGCATTTGTCACAGATTTCCGCAGATTTCTACGTTCCTATTTTATTTATCTAGTCTTGCATTGTGATTGACCAAAATTTTGAAATGTTTGGTAGGGATATATCATTATCATATATCCTGGGATCAAAACAAAAAATTGCCTCGCAGAGCGTTTTAATTTTTTTCTGTGTGTCCTGATCTTAGTCCTTATTGATTCATTTTTTAAATAACCTATATGTCAAATTTTTGACATGTGTAATTTAATCTTTATACCTTTTATCATCTTTTTCTGGTCCAATTCAAAACATACAAAATATTTCCATGGTTTCCAGGGAGGTACGTTTTTTTTTCTGATCTCACGATGGTTATCCAGATAGGTTCAGGTATTGTAAGTTTACTACAGGTGATGTTCTCATTATACAGGGTGTCCCACGGTGGATGGCGTATCAGACGGTAATGGAAAACTAAAAAGCGGATAATTTTGAAAATTTGGCAACCAAGATAAAGAACCATAATTTACACTTTAAAAATATTTTTGTTAATGCGGTGTTGCCGCTTCTACTCGAAACCAGTAACAACATCGCTATTTTAAATGGATCACCCTGGATGTGATTGCATATTTGGATTTTACGTAAAATTCTGAGCAGATTTCATATGATATACCCTATACCTAAGTTCAACTGTTTTGGAAATATTTGCAGTTGAAAATTGACTTTTTGCAACTTTGACAGGCTGTAAAATCTGAACGGTTAATTTTAGAGGAAAACCGATTCCACATTCCTGTCTTAGATTTTTATAAACTATCATTTGATACCAACTTTGAATTTAATCCATAATTAAACATGCTAATTAAATTTAAAGTTAGTGTCAAATGATAGTTTATGAAAATCTAAGATAGAAATGTAAAATCGATTTTCCTCTAAAATTAACCGTTTAGGTTTTACAGCCTGTCAAAGTTGCAAAAAGTAAATTTTCAAATGTCAATATTCACAAAACAGTTGAACCTAGGTATAGGGTATATCACATG